TGTCATTATGGCAATCATTTAGAAATTAATAATCATCATATTTAGGTTGTTTTTCCAAAGCACCAAGAGGCTCAAAGGCTACGATAGTTTTAATATCTCAAGAGGGCTCCACATAGTGATTGGTGGGGCACTGCTTTGTTCAGGTTCCAAGGATCTGGGAGTGTGTAAGTGAATCAACTTGGTATTTATCCTTTCGGAAGATGAATACAGATTTTCCTCGACTTATAATGGGGTTACGTCTGGATGAACTCATCGTAAGTCGGAAATATCCTAAGTCAAAGATGCATTTGATACACCTGACCTCTCGAACATCATAGCTTAGCCTAGCCTACCTTAAATGTGCTCACAACACTTAAATTAGCCTATACCTGGGCAAAATCATCTAACCCAAAGCCTATTTCATAATAAAGTGCTGAATATCTCTTGTGATTTGTTGAATTCCATACCAGAAGTGAAAACCAGTGGTTGTGTGTCGGTTGTTTGCTCTGGTGATCACCTGGCTGACAGGGGGCTGCAGCTCATTGCCATGGCCCAGGATCATAAGAGAAATCATGTGCCTATCACTAGTCCAGGAAAAGACTGAAATTCAAAACTCAAATTCTAGTTTCTCTGAAGGCATATGGCTTTCACACCATTGTAAAGTCAAAAAATTGTAGGTTGAACCCTTGTGAAGTCAAGGACTATATGTACATGCTTCTCTGAGATACCAGCTACATGTTCCTCATCTCCTTCTCCCTCTCCTATGTTAGCTCGCACCTTGGAGGACTCACAAGGTAGAGGTACAGAGGTTTTGCTGTAGTTTGGCTTCCCATTGAGAAACTAGTTGGGAGCAGGACATAGTGATGTTCCAGCTGCAACAATGTTCAGTTCATTGGTTACCAGAGTTGCTTCTCCTGATGGCTCATTGGGTGGATGCCTTATATCCATACATTTTATTTCTACTCTGACAGTCTCTGGTTGGGGGTGTGGGCGTCCTTCAAGAGCAAGAATGCTCTGGAAGTCCAGTACGTAGGCCTCTGGGGCTGACAGGCTGGTCCAGGGAACAGAAAGGCAAGAATTACGGTATCTCTCTGCTCTCAGGAGAAGCTTAAATAGAAGATTTTAAACATTATTTTGGTGAGTTGGTGATCTCCAGTCACAGCTCCAGAAACTACCTAGAGGTGGTTGCATGACCCATGGTAGCATCTGGAAAAAGGGACAAAGGCCAGGATTTAAGCAATCTGTGCTTGCCCTTGTAAGTGCCAGGTCCATCCAGAACTTGCAGAGCCATGGAACTAACCATACTGTCGAGCACAGTTGGTGGTGGTACAGGGTCCGCCCTCTTTTTTTAGGTAGGGATAGTCCCAACCTACTTTATAGACCTGATCAATTGTTAGATTCTCAGAGAGCATTTTGGATATTGACCCCTTCTGTTGTGGGCAGATGGCTTTAATTGTGAGGGCAGAGTCTACTTTGAATCGGCCTTGGTAATGACTAGGATTCAAGACAGAATTGGACATGTCTGGATCCAGGGGTTCAGAGTCTCTCATCAGGATTCTGCTTCTCTCTTTATCTCTTTTAGGTGACACTCTCAGGCAGTCTTTCTCCAGGGCAGATGGGCTTGTAGAGCCCCAGACTTTTATTTTTTGCACCTGAATCTCGGGAGGACTTAGATTCTTTCTCTCTCACTCCGTTCCTAAAAAATGCTTCTGATGAGCCCTACTTCATAGCTCTTTTAGAGCCGAGAGTTCCTCCATTGGCCAGTGTGGCTCTGGCCACCCCGGTAGAGAGAGAGGTGGGAGCCTTTGAGTGACACCCCACCTAGGTCAGAGGCTGAAGACAGGACTGTCCTTGAGGAAGGGATGTGGGACCAACCCAAGAGCAATAGAAAGAGAGCTCTGTACTGCTTCTCCAAATTATTGTGTTAACGAGGCTTTGGATCAGACAGGCCTGGTTCGAATATTAACCCCACTACCTGCCAAACATGTCTTCTCAGGCAAGCTGCTTAAGTACACCAAGCCTCAGTTTCCTTATTTAGTTAGCAGAAACAGTGATAGTACCTGTATCAAAAGGTAGAATGGTAAAAATCTGAAGAAAATGAAGAACCCAACATAATGCCTAGCACATATAATAGGGACTCAGTAAGTACTGGCAATTTTTATAGGCAACTCTTATAATCTGGTAACTCTTGAGATGCCGAAGAATGACAGAATGGACATTTTTATTGTTTTTCTGTTTTTGAACCAGAAGGAAGTCATTCCACACATTTCAAAAGATCAGTATCAAACAAATTTTAAAATATTTGGCTATATTTTCCTTGAATTGTCAGAACCAACTCTAGAAAAAACTAAGACCACAGGTTCCTCTGCTCTGCTCAATTCCATAAAGAAAAGAAGATTGAAGAAAAAGGCAAGCTGGACTCTGGCCTTGTCCCTGTTCTAGAACTGCTGATCTGGCCTCCACCGAGGGGCTCTTCCTTCAACCCCCGGGCTACCCTGGACCGCAGCCCCCTCCTGCCTTCTTCCACATGGTGACCCCAGTGTAGATGTAGTTACCAGAATTTTTCCTTTCCATTCTTTTTTTTTCTGGCAGTTCAAGAGGTTAATCAATATCTCCAGAGAGTCTCTCACCTCACTGGGGCAGCTCTCTCTGACCTTTTCATATCCTGTGCGGGGGCATGGGGCAGACACGGAAGACTGTGACAGACACTAGTCTATGACTTTGTAGGCCAAAGGCCAAGAGGACTTTGTAGTGGCCAAGAGGGTAGACTCTGGCCAAACTGCCCCGGCTCACATTCCAACTCTGCTGCTTTACTGTGTGAGTTTGGGTCTGGGTGACATCACAGAGTTGTCATGAAGAGTAGAGGAGTGAATACACTCGAAACACTTAGAATGGTGAGCATGGTTCCCCATGAGAAAGAAGTAGCAAAGGGCAGAGAACAATCAATCAAGAATGATGGACTGAACCACCTGTCAGTGGCATTAGGCCACTATAGGGAGCCTGAGAGAGGTAGAAAATAAAGTTTGTTTCCGCAAGATGCAGCCAGGAACACAAGAGACAAACAGCAATCTAAAACGACATTACAAAAGATGTGTTAACACAATGGGATTGATTACCAATGAGTGGCCACAAGTAAGAGCCAGGAGGACTCACTTTGTATCGCAGGTGTGCGGACCACTTTAACAAGGACCTGGGGATTGAACGAGGCTCTGAAGAAAGGGAAATATTTGCAAAGATGGAAAGGACCATCTTTGGTAGTAGTATAAACAGACATAGGACACAAGTTTGGCTGTGATGGAGGTTTCAAGAGTTCATGTTGAAGAGGTGGTAGGTGAGCCTGAACCTTCAGCGGGTGTTGAGGACAGAAGGAGTTTGGACATAACATTTTAGTCAACAGGAAGCCTTTGGATAGATAGGGAAGTGACCTGCTAACAACAGTGTTCAAGGAACTGGACCCCAGCGGGAGTGAATGGGGTGAAGCTAAGAGGGAAGAGTGCCCGGGGAGGGTTGAGTTCACTCAGGATTTATGCATAAAGGCCCTACTATGTGCCAGGGACTCACTACCCTCATGGGATCCAGACAGACAAGGCCTCTGCTTTCAGGGTGCTTCAACTTTAGTGAGTCCCAGCTGATCCACTCAAGGAACACTGGTGGATGCTGACATTATTAGGCAGGAGGTTGTGAGGGAACAGGATATTCATATAGTCTCAGATTCTCACTGCGTAGATGACATATTAATTACAAAGGGAAGTGAGCTCCTTCCAAAGAGAAGTGGCAAGATTTCATGTTCCCACCTTAACCAACTGACTAGACCTAGTGTAACTGAGTGGAAATTTCCTGATGTGATGACAACCCAGGCAGATATTCTTAACAGAAGCATTTAAACAGGATCTACTCATGGGGGAACAATCAGACAAATCCAGAATATGGGACATTCTATAAGACAGTTGACCTGAGTGCACAGAAAATTAAATGTTCTGGAGAACAAACAAAAAGGGCAGGGGGGCAGATGAAAGGAGAACAAAGCAGGGGCTGGCAAACTATATAGTACAAGGGCTAATCCAGCCCATTGCCTGTTTTTGTAAATAAAGTTTTATTGGAACACACACACATCCATTCTCTTACTGACTTTTATGCTATAGCAGCAAAGTAGGATAGCTGCCAGGGAGATTCTGTGACCCGCAAAGCCTAAAAAAAGTTTCCTGACCCTTGGAATAAAGAAAGCACCATAATAACCAAATGCAATGCCTGAATCTTGGCTGGTTCCTGCATCGAGGTGAAAGAATGAAAACATCATTAAATAATTTCAGGGCAACTGGAGAGATTTAAAGAAAGAGTGCATTTTAGATGACATTCCTGAATTCATGTGAATTTTCTTGGGCATGACAACTGTTGCATGGTATCCTTCTTAGGTGTTAAATGCTAAAGTATTTAAGGGTTGTGTCATGATGTCTACAATGTACTTGTAAATGGTACAGCCAAAAAAAAAAAAAAAAATAGAAAAAGAGAAAAGAAAAAGAATACGAAGAAAA